AAGTGTTTGCATGACTTGTAGCATTAGATAGTACTCTTAATTTAGATCATTTAAAAGCAAGAGGTTTTCGACTTTCAAGCATTTGTCTAATGTGTAAGAATCAAGAGGTAAATGTTAGAACCTATTAATTAATTGTAGCTAGGTGGAATTCATGAGGCTAAGTTTGGAAGGAGTACAAATACAAATATGTATAGTGCAAATACAAGGTTTAGAAATACAATATACATGGTTTTGCATTGTACATAATTGTATTTGTACTCTTCCCAAACTGAGCCCAAGGGATTTCTTCTTTGAAACCTTTAATATACAGAAACCTATTCCATCAGATCCAACGTGGATATTTTCAGGGTGACCAAGGATTGGACACAGTAGCAAGGCCAAGAGTTTGTGGGGTGTTGCAATTAGTTGTTTTCTGGTACATTTGGAAAGAATAAAATAATAATTGAGTTTTTGAAGATAAATATTGTTAAAGAAGTTAATTGATGATATTTGGTTCCTTTTTGCTGAATGGTTTCTTTCTCATCAAGAATTCAAAGATGTTCAAAGAGAAGGCCTTCTGTTGCTTTCTTTGAATTTAGATTTTGGGAAGGATTTAACTGTTAATGCCTTTCCAGGAGGTTTAACAGGTTGTATTTTGCTTTGGTTTGCTTTTTCCTTGCGTGTGTCTGGTGAAATCTCATTACAATTGTATTGTATCTTTTTTTCCTATTAATGAAAATGGATTTTTTTTAGTACCAAAAAAATTGAACCACATGGCAACAACAAAAAACCGTAGTGATGTTTTGAGGGCAAGACTCAAAGGCTAGCAATAACCCAAACAAGATTCTGGACACAACTAATGGAAGCATGGGCAACTGAAATGGACTGATCTCAAGAAACCAAGAGGGGATCCACCAGAGCCAATGCCAACTTGTGGTATCATATAAATGAGTGGCTGAGACCAAGTAATCATATAATAAGGGGAAGAATGCATAGACGGCAACAAAGATGTTCAAAATTCAAATTTTTAAAGGGAACCTACACACAAGTAACATACAACAGGGAAAAGAGACTCAATAGAGCAGATTTTCTAGAGATGCAGGTTATGTGGTGGGTCAGTTCAGTATGTGACCTACTGAAAAAGACATGTGATACAATAGATGGAAAAATGGTAAGGAGATCCTCATCCTCAACCTCTTTTTATTTTATCAGTTCATCCTCAACCTTTTTTTTTATCAGTACCTCAACCTCTTGACATAACCCCAGTACTCATGATGATTCTTCAAGTGTCCCACCCACCCCTTTCTAACCCCCACTGAAATCTTGGTGGAAATCCCTAAAAACTTGATCTAGGCAAGATCCATTTTCTGCTTTCTACTTACCTCATAGGGCTGCAAATGGGTTGAATCAAATTTCAATAGGGGTACATCTGATTTCAATTCAATAAGAAAATGATCATATCCGAATTCGATTCAAATCCATCAGATATATCACTTGCCCTCTTCAAATCCCACAGATATCTTATTCAAATTCAATACAATTCAACCATGGAGAGTTATAAAGTGATGAAAAAACAAGTTAACCAACAGATTTCTAATGCTTCTTCTAGCCATAGGCTATACTGGTTAGAAATTAATAGCTCAAAAAACTCAGCCCTGTTAAAGTGAAGGGGGAAGAAAAATCGAAGTCAAAAGTTTACCTGGTTTCAATGCTTCTACAAGCACTCAAGCGGTAGGTCAAATCTTGCTATGGTCCTTCGGTCTTTTCAATGCTCTCAACCAATTCTCGTTATCCATAGAGTGGGTGCTCTGCTCTTTGTTTTCAGTGCTTGAAGCTTGCATAGTGAAGTTACAGTATTCAAATAGAAAACGATATCAATGCTTCTCAAGCAAACTATACTTGGCCTTGCACCCACTTCAATGATTTCTGTTGTATACAAGAAGGAAAATTCCAGATTCCTTTTAGTACATTTTTCTGACTCTCCACTTACTGTTGCCACTAAAGTGAGTGTCTTATGGACACCTCAATTGTCTGAAATCAACACACATTTTCCACTTTTGAACAATGGGTTCTATAATTACTGTCAACGGTAGCACTATTGGGTGGCCCAATAACAGCATCAAGAAGTGACCCACCAGTGTCAAGTAGCAGAGGCAGATCAGCACTTAACCATGATATTCAGCGGACTGTAGGAGTGGTGGCCTGTGCTGACTAGAGATGACAGGCTACAAGCTACAGTGGTCAACAGACAATGGGTAAGGGGGTATTGGGGTTTACTGCTTTAGATATATCTTTGAAAAAATTCCTCTAAAAGTCCAGATAAGGTTAAATCTTCAAAGGGCATCTCTGTCTATGTACAATCTACTAAAGATTTTTATAAAAGTATATTAAAACATTATATATTATAAATATAATTAAAACCGAATTCAGATCATAACAGATCGAATCAGGAGTATATCCCAATTCGATCCAATAACTAAGTGGACTCAATTCCTAGATTTGAATTCAATTTGTTAAGAGTTATCAAACATTCAAATCCGATATAAACGGATTGGATCTAAATTGAATCAGATCAATATCCGATCCATTTGCAGCCTATTGCCTCATCACCCTATCACCCTGAAATGATCTTACTCCAGTTCCAAGATGGCAAATCTCTGCCTTAAAATGTAAGGAAAACCACTTTGAAACCATTTCGTCTCAGATAGCATCCAAAGAGGCTATAAAAGGAACAAGAAAGCTTTGCTTCTCTTGATATTGGAGGGTTTTGAAAATGAGAAAATGCATCTGAAGGTCATGGAGTATTCAATGTCAGTAGCTAGTGTTCCCCAGAAACTCCAAGGATAACAAAGGAGTATTAACAGTAAAAAAAAAACATCTATTTTTTCTTTTTTTTTTTGTGGGAACAGGCTAAAATAAGAAAAATATGGATTTTTTCCTTCATGTATTTTAGCAATTAAAATAAGAATACCTAGGTAAGAAGTTAATCACAAATTTACCTGGGCCCTAACAGGTGGCACTGCTGCATGTCCGGATGGTGCTGAAGGCAAGTTGAGTTCCTCTTCCACATCATGTTCCCTGTCAGGTTGAAGGTAACTGGGAACCCCATCTGACTCTGTCTCCATTCCCATGTCAGCTTCCAAGGCATCAAGCTCTGATTTCACCACAAGAAAACAAGAAAATAAAGGAGTGAATCATTCTAATGTTAACATAATTCTCTGCTTATCCAAATGAGAGCACAAAGAGAAATCCACCAACCTCTAATGTTATGTCAGATGATGTAAAAACAAGACCATGAGGCACAAGATTAATAGTAACTCACCACCCATGAGTTCTTCCTCATCAATATCATCAGGTACATTGTAGCTTCTACCAAGAGACTCTTGAATTTCACCACTTGTTTCCATCAGATCCATCATCTCATCTTGCATGCTCTAACATTGTAGGAATCAGCTGGCCAGTTTTAGGTAGAAAATAGTTAAGATGAAAACCAAAGTCAGGATATGCGTACTTCTATATCTTGAATTTTCACAGTCTTCATCATTCCTTTCAACTCCTTGTTTGCAGATTTTAAAGCTGAGACCTGAGTGGCAGTACAACATTTACCATGTCATGAGCTCTAGTGAAAAGCTACGGTACCATATCATAAAACTCATATTAATCAAATAAAGGTTGCTGATTTGGGCACATACTCCATTTTCAATAAATTCAGTACACCCTCAATGAAAAACTAGAAAACAACCCAATTTATGATGATGAAAATGAATAAACAGGAAAACTTTAGATTATTAATAGGGCAGGTGCTCTGCTCAGCAAAAACAGGATGTGCCCCCAAAAACCCCTAAATACATGTTTGTCCTGTATCCCAACAAAGAGCTTGTTATACACATGGATGACATACCGACAACCGTGACTCCTACCAATATCCAATAGTACCTCAAAAAGAGCACATTAAGAAAATTAGAAAAAAAAAATGTAGAATCAGAGGAGCATTTTAGTACATACAGTTTGTTGGGCATCTTTGATTCCCTCAGCAGCAAAAGCAACTTGATCAAGATTGAATGTCTGGTTGTAAAGCATATCACGCTGTCCTTCATACCTGACCAGCAGCTAGGTTAGGTGAATAAAATACTGCAGAAAGAAGACAAACAAGTACAGTCATAGCCAATAGTGGGTTCTCAGGGAGAAACTACTGTAGTACCATATCTATTGTTAGCTTGTGGGCCCTTAAAATCATTTCTCACTACTTCAAACCATGTAATTTTTGTCCTACCTTAGCTCCTCTAGCCCCCTTTAAATTGTAATATATCACTTCTTAATAGTTGTAGATAGGGGTGTCAACTGTATCTAAAAACCCAATTTCAAATTCAAGATTTGACATAATCAAATTGAATTTGGATAATTTGAATATCATAATTGGTCAAGTTCAAACATTCTACTCATACCATTTAACTAATTCAATCGAATTCAGACATGACCTGATACAATTCAATAAACATCCAAATCTGACCAATTATATAATTCATATATAAAATACTTAAGTTATATAAAGAATTTACATATTTACATACTCTATATAAATAAAATATTTATATTGTGTGTGTGTGTATATATATATCGGTCGAATTTGAATCAAATCAAATATTCAAATATTTAATCGAATTCAAATTCAAATATTATTTTCAATATCCATCGGATATTGAATCATATTTAGATATCGAATTTTCTAATCAAATTGAAATTTGGATATTGCTTCATTCTATTCGAATTTGATCCATTTACACCACTTGTAAATGGATCATCTTAGTCTACTTTTCCTCATTTTATCACCTATTGGAGCTACTCCTAAGTTCTTTTAAAAAAGTTCATTTTTGACCCTATCCTTTCCACTTTTCCCACTCAGCCATCTCCCATGTCCTTTTTGGTCTGATCTTAGCTCTTCTAGCTCCTTCAAATGGTTCCATTCTCTCATTTTATCATGTATTGCAGGCTGCACCCACTCTTAGGGTTTTTTTTTTTTGATAAATTAAAAAAAAAAGAATAGTAATAATTTCGTTTCTAACCAAAACCTTCCTGGGCCCCATTTTTCGAATTTATTGTGTTGTACTGCCATTCAGATAATAAGATCTATAAAATTTTATCTTCGCCATATTATAATTCTTTTAGCATATTATAATAAGCATTCTTTTATCATAATGTTGTATGGTAATCAAATCATCTTAGACTTTAGCTTTTCTACTTTTTTCTTTTGTAATTAGCATTTTTATCATAATCAATAAAACTCCACCTTTACCTACCAAAAAACAACACAAGATTACAGAAGAGAAAACAATAATCAAAACTTGGCTCTTTCATTTTATTTTTCTAAAGCCTATGCATTTCAATCGAACAACTAAGCCTACACAACTGACAATAATTAAGATTTGCATGAATGCAGCTGCAATCAGATTAAAATAGCATAAAAATGAGCCCTTACATTCGCTTTTGCTTAAGAACCCTCATTGCCCGAGCTTTTATAGCATCTTGAGCAGGACCAGGTCGTGTTTTCTTGATCTGCTCTTTGTATCTACTAAGTTCAGCATCAAGTTTTTTTATCTTCTCATCCACAGTTTCACCTCTTTTATTAATCTAGAGAACAGTTTAGACATCAGTCTAGTAGAAAATACAAGAGTGATCTGAATTTAGGAAAATGATAGTAAGATTTCAGCAAATGTCATCAAAGCAAAGAATATGGAGAAAGCCATATCCAATAGGATTAGAAGCACAAAATCCTCAAGATGATCAACCAAACAGAATCAGAACTCAGTCAAATCAGAAAGTAAGCATAGTGGCAGATTTTTAGACACAACATGAGAGGATAAAAGGAAAACATGGAAGAAAGAGTGCCTGCATTACAACATTGACAACCAAAAATAAGATAGCAAAGCCAAGAAATTCAAGGAAATGAAATGCAATTTACTGCAAGTTTTATCCAGTAAGAATCAATGCAGATTGCATCAACATTAGCACAAGTTCATCAAAAAATACCAGTCTCATTCTAGATGAGAAAACAGGAAAAAAAGTGGAACCTTGCAATTTTAAAGAAGAAAGAAAAAACCGAAAACCCAACAAGAGTAAGTTAATTTCTTCAGTTGAATATGGGAAAAACACACAAAAGGATTAACAATAACAACAAACTAGAGAAACAATAACGAACTATTTAAAAGCAAGAAATCTGATAATCGTGGAGAAAACAGATATCGAAAAGCGTACTTTATCAGTGGCATCTTGTATAGAAGGAGGGGGCTCTTTCTCCTTCTTAACACCAAAAACCCTCTTCATTTTCTTTTCGTTTCTCTTCTCGAGCTTCAATCAATGAAGATTCCTAGGGTTTAAAAGCAGTGACGTACCGACGCCCAGACTTCAGAATCAAACTGAAATTGTTCAGAGAAAGATGGTAGAGAACCCAAAAGTGCTTCGCGCCCCCAGTAGATGTCCACTTGCTTTTGTTTTTTACTTTCATGATGCTATTACGCTTCAGTCAGAGCAAAGATTCGAACAGCCTTTATAGCCTTACATCGGGAATATCTCCTATTTCTATGCTTTATTTCATGGGAAGATATTCCCAATGCAAGGCTATAATGGTTATTCGAATGGACTTTGCTCTGACTGAATCCTGTTTCGCTATCACGGCCATGGCACAAAACAGATACAAACATCCCGTTAGCCTCTTTTATAAAACGTCAGTGAGGAACAAGGCATGTGGGGCTAGCATTTTCCTTTCTAAGTGCCCGTCTAGGAGGGCTGTGATGTAGTGATTTGGGACCTTCGAACACCACACCGAGAAAGTTGAGAAGCTATATTTGGTGAAAGGGTACGAATACCAACGAAACGCTCCCAACGTTGTCCCAACACCCATTCTGTCACACATTAGGAACATTTTCCTTGTCATTCGAGTTCGGATCAACACCCCACTAGGGGCCCCACAATACATCCCAACCATGTATTGAGAACATCTCCTGATGATGTTTCATCATTTTCCATACTTATCCATCGGGAAATGTTCCCAATGCACGGTTGGGATCAATATACAATGAGGCATAGTAGGATGCCCCCTTGTTGGGTGCTGATGTAAACTCTTGTCATTTTCTTCGAACGATGTTTTCAATGTGTGGTTGGAATTAGACCTATTCATGGGTCGGGTAGCCCAATGGCCCGGACCGGCCCGGCCCGTGCCCCAGTCGGGTTTGGTCATGTAATTAGTCCTGCGGGCCTGACCTCGGGCTTAGCACAGTAAGCTCGACTGTGCTATGAGCCGGGCTCGGGATTTGTCAAAAAAGCCCGGCCCGAGCCCGACTCGGCCCAACTCAGCATTATATATTTTATAAAATACATAATATGTATTTTATATATTATATAAAATATATAAATAATATAATATTTATTAAAATATATATATTTATAATTTAATATATACATTTTTTTATTTTTTTCCTTATAATTTCTTTCTCTTTCTATTCAGCCACTTCAGCAGTAGTAACATGGGATAAATTTCGGGCTCGGGCCCAGGCCCGGGCTTCGGGCTTTTAATGAGGGCCGGGCTCGGGCCTTAGAAAAATCTGTTAATACAGAGTGAAAGCTCGGCCCGAGCCTGGCCCATGAACAGGTCTAGTTGGAATGGCAAACATTTTGAGAGCATTTTATTGGTAGCAGATCTGAACTCTCCCTGAAAAGGAAAGTCCAAATATATTTTTATTCAACAAAGAAATTGACTTTGACGAAAAATCTAGTTTTCATGACCGTTTGGGAGGGCTTCACACAGCAGTTTTTGGCATTACATGAGCTGATAAAACCTATTACACCAATGAAGCTGTATTTAGTAAAAATCCAGAAAATCAAAAACAGGTGCTTAGTAACTTCTTCAAAGTGGCTCACTAAAGCAGCTCAATCAAGGTTAAACACACTTACCCATTTGGGAGGGCTTTCACAAAGCGGCTTCCAAGGTAAATCCCAAACAGAAAATTGTAAAATTATGTTTGATGGAAAATTCAAAAAATTCAAAAATGCTTATACTAAGCTGAGAAATTAATTTTCTAATAAAGCTAATTTTGGTAGTTTATTTGAAGCCATTCAATCAACACTGACGACCTCCCAAACGAGCCCTAAATATTCTTGCAAGTCATGTCAAAGAATTTGGTTGTACTTCCTAATTGTTTTACAGGTGGCAAGAGATGATGGTTAGGTTAGGACATTTTGTAATGATTCCAGATTAACTACACTTTGCCTATGGATGTTTGTGTTGTCCAATTTGAAAATTTTGAAGGGAAAATCTCTTAAATTACTCTTATATTTTAGGAAATGGATTAATTATGTGTTGACATAGATCCCATTTATTAAATAAACTTTTGTATTTTATTTGTCTTCATAACCGAAAAAAAGTATTTGATGAACCGTTTATTGATAATTAAGTGCCACATTAGCTGTTGTACATAAATCAAAATCCACTTTTGTGAATGCCAATGCGTATGGATGAACATGATGAGAAAAATGTTGATTTGGCAATGACATGGTGGCATTTTGATAAACACCTATCACAAAATGTCCATGAAACAAAACACGCACTAAAACATCCTCACTGTTTGCAAAACCGAAAAAAGTATTTGATAAACCATTTATTGATAATTAAGCGCCACATCAGCGGTTGTACATAAATCAAAATCCACTTTTGTGAATGTCAATGCATATGGATGAACATGATGAGAAAAACATTGATTTGACAATGACATGGCAGCATTTTGATAAACACCTATCACAAAATGTCCACGAAACAAAACACGCACTAAAACATCCTCACTGTTTGCAAAACCATTAAAATATCTCAAAGTTTCTTGACAATTAACACCATTGTTAAATGGTTGGAAACGCAATGTGTCAACTAGCTGGTTGGTACGTAAGGTCTCTTGCTAGTTGTAATGGAGACTTGGGGTCAAATTCCGCTTCACCTAGGTTGGGGGATTTATCGGTTTATGGATTAATTTTCAACATCTCTCTATTGACTGAAATAATTTTAAGGTAAAATATAAAATCATCTCCTAGGTTTTCCGACAGTCATAAAAACCTCCTTTTGATTAAAACAAAAACCTCTATTCCATTATACTTGGTCAAGCGGAAAATGCTGATGTTTTGCATTTGTTTCTTAAATGCCACTTTTACCCCTAAGGCTATCAGCTAAGGCGTGTAACCTAAAATAACTTTACCCTTTTATTGCTCATTTCTTTGCTTCACTTCCCACTCCTGAAACTTCTTCAACTAGGTAAATCAGGCAATGTTCACCCATAGTAAATCACAAGTAGAGGTTGATCACTCCAAAAAGATCAAAGAACACATAGTCAATCAAAAATGTGGAAACATCGTCCACTGTAGCAGTTAAACAGTTCAACAGTAGCTAAACCCATTCCTTGGGGCTGAACAATTCCAATTTAAAGCAAGCAACATTGCATCGATGATCGATCGATGAGTGAACCCATCCCTTGAAGTTAAACACCTCTATTTCTATAGCTTGCATAGCTACACACTCATTTTTGTGGTCATGACTCTTGCATGTGCATTGGGTTAACACCTCTATTTTTGTGGCTTGAATAAGCTCTTACCATTCGAATCAAATTGATGGCCCATTCTAACAAAAAAAAATTAAAAAAAAAATGGCCAAAACCGTTGGACGGTTTGACCACCTGGGTCAACAGTTTGTTGACCAAATCAATGATTTTTGGTGAAATAACAGTTATGGGATAAAATAGAACTAGTCACTTGACCCATTCCCGGTTTTTCCAGTCTGGTCTGGCCCGATTTTGAAAACCATGCTCTATTGCAAGCGTGGTGTCTTCGCAATCCGAGATAGTAGCGGCAATGTGTCAGTCTATTAAATCTTCAAACAATGGAATATGGTGGGTAGAATAATAGATATCGAATGTGTTGGCCGATGGGAAGTGGTGGTGTAGCTCACCAAAATGAAGACATGCATTGATGGATGAATTCACTACCCCTGTCATGGCTATGAGGGAATCAATGGACAATAATATGGATAGTGGTTCCTGAGTTGTTCCAAACAACTAAAGTCTAGAATAGTTAAATATGGAATTTAAATTATTTAGAATAATAATGTGTAATGGGGGCAATTTTGTAACTTTGGTGTCTCCATTATTGACCAAATGATGAAAGGCAAGTGACTATCAATTTATTGATAAGTATAGGGGAGGTTTTTATGATTGTCAAAACCCAGCGGAGGTTTTCATATTTTACCCATAATTTAATCTGCTTTGTTTTGTGGGATGAAGATAAATAGAGTGATGTCCGATATGGTTTTGTCACAACCCCATAGTAGAGCTATTTTGCTGATAATCCAAGTAAGGATAGGAAGGGTTTTTTGCTCTCCGGAGCTCTGTTTTCTAGTTTTTGGTTAAGTTCTTTTCCTCCTTTTCGATTGTCTTCCTATCTCTCCCAAATCCAGTTTCTTTTTGGTATAGTGTGAAGGAGTTGGAAGCTAGATGGTAGCTGAAGATCCACCTCTAAGTATTGAAGAAAAATGTAAACTATGTCTTTACGGCAAGCTAATCACCAAAAAACCAATCAATGCCTTTGGAGTGGTGGAGAGAGTAAAAAATATGTGGAAGAAGAAGGTGATGAACTATGATGTTAGATGGATAAATGGAGATGTTCTTTTTATTGTCTTTAGCTTAAAAAGGGACTACAAATGGGTTCTCAAGAATTAGCCATGGCTTTTCAAAGACTACCCTTTACTGCTACGGAGTTAGGTCCTTGATCAAAAGCCAAGTAAAATGGTGTTTGATCAGGTGGACATTCAGGTGCATATCTTAGATTTACCTCCAGAAATTATGACAAGGGCTCATGGGGAGCAGCTAGCTAAGCAAATTGGAGTATCAATCCCACCTGATGATGATGATATTCCAAATAAAAACACACTGGAGTGGAATGACTTCTTGAGAGTTAAAGTTAAATTAAATGTAAATGAGCCCCTGGTAAAAGGAATCGTTAGGCGTAAAAGGGATGGGGTGGAAGAGTGGCACCAAGTTCAATACGAACTTCTCCCCATTTTTTGTTATGAATGTGGTAAAATAGGACATGAGTCGGCGACTTACGTCTTTAGATCAAGTAAGGATCCGATTGTTGAACTTACTGAGAAGTTTGTTGTGCAAGCAATGAAAGAAGGTGGCATCCCAGATTCCCAGCTGACTATGGGCCCTAGCTCCGGGCTTGGGATGATCCTGAGGAGGCAAAGCTCTTGAACAGAGGAACTATGTTGTTGAGCAAAGGCAAAAACAAGTTGCCGGTCCATGATGAAGGGACGGTCAGTCCTATGGAGAAGAAAGTGGAATCCAATAGTGATTCAGGCCATGGGCGAAAAGAAAGTCGAATGTTGCCGAAATTTGTGCGGAAATGTCCTCTTGTAGTAGCTT